AATATATCTTAATAAGGGTCATTGAGTAGTTGGGGTGGCACCCTTGATCCCTCTATCGGTCAGCCGCCACTGCTTAAAACACCGAAAAGGCCAATTCAAGATGCTTGTTGTGACAGTTAAAAGAAGGTCAAAGGGTGTCCAAACTTTTGTAAAAGCATGAAAATGGAGAATTTGAAGCTTCATCTGCCCTTTGAAACAAACCTTTTATCAGTTTGCAGTGTTTTCCAAAACAGGGCATGACATCTGCTAAGTGTTTTTACAGCAAACACACAGAAGCAGCTCTGTCCTTAACCCCCTGTTGTCATGTGATGCTTCAAGGTACCCTGAGGACCGTTTCATTTCATCCTGGCCAGCAGATCTTGCCCAGTCTCTTAGCATTTAGAAGAAATTACCAAGCGTGATTGAATTACTTTTTTTCCGTTTTGTCTGAGCACAAAGACAGGGCATCACATTGTCAGGTTTGTTGGCCTAGTTGCTGTTTACGATGTTAGCATTTACCTCAACAAAGGGATTGCATGGCCAACGGTGATGCTACACTCACTGAAAGAGTTTTCTTTAGGAGGATTAGTAACAAGATAGGCGGTAGTCCTGATCAGCTATTAATGAAGCGTGATGGGGTGAGTAGACCTGCAATTTTCAATGGGTACAAAAATCAACTATAATCTATAGGACACATAAACAAGTTTTGTGTTAGTTTCACTTCTGAGCAACCAAGCCTTTTAGAGACTCAGTCAAAGGATTGAAAGGAAGAGTATTTTAATGATTAGCAAACTGGAAAACAGTTAGCTCTGAAAATGTGGCCAGATTTAGATCAGGGTTCAGCTTGTAACATTTTGTTTCACATGGTGTCAGATCACTATGCTAATGCTAGGGTCTGAGTACTGAAATAGCCTTGCACTGCAGGGTTGTCAATTATAAAGCAGGCAGAGCGACACCGAGGATTTTTCTTTGCTAGTTTATTGTGCAGAGTTAAAGTCTGTGTTTGATCCTTGTTTTCTTTTCTTTGTTTTTTCTTTTTTTGGGGGGGGGGTTAACAAGGTAAGTCTTTTTCTCTATGTTGAAACCAGCATGCAGCTTCCCTGCTGCCTCCACACTGCAATTAGATGAAAGGCTGAACCCCTACCGAATGACAGCCATTTTTAAAGAATGGTGTTAATCGCTTGAATACAGCACTGTATCTCATTTCATTGTTCAAAGCAAAACCCTTTTTCTGACTCTTGTTTTTTCCGCTGTAGGTTTGACAGCAACCGGGGCGGTTGATGTGGACTTCAGCCCTGTACCTCCGCAGTCTTCCCTGGAGCATGACCGTATCCCACAATGCCCCAAGCTGCAGTCTGGCTGCTGCGTTACTCGGTGGTCATGTGTTTGCTGTTGCACAGTTTGGTCATGATGACGTTCTGCTTTCATCACGCCGCCACCTCATGTTCCAAGAGGTGCTACTGCTCTGAGACTGAGAGCGGAGGCAAGACGATGCGCTGCAGCAACCTGCAGCTCACGGAGATCCCAGAGGACATCCCCAATGACACTCAACATGTCTACCTCGACTTTAACCTGTTAACCGCAGTTCCGACTAACGCTTTTGCAGGTTTGACCCAACTGGTTGAACTGGACCTATCACACAATGAGATAAGTCAGCTGGAACATGGTGCATTTAGAGGACTTGGCACCTCTTTACAGTTCCTGGATCTTTCTTCAAACAAGTTGGTGAACTTCAACCCAGTTGCCTTTAAGGGCCTTAAAGCTCGCGCCAACCTAACAAACAACCCGTGGCAATGTGACTGCAATCTGCAGAGGGCTTTGCCCTTTGTGACCCTGGAGCCAGTCTCTCTGACAGGCATCGTGTGCCACAGTTCTGATCCACCTGGCATGGGAGTCGAAGGATTGGCCTTTATTTTGGAACCAGGAATAGACTTGTGTGGGTTGATAAAGAGGACTACAGACGTGGCCATGTTGGTCGTTATGTTTGGCTGGTTCACCATGGTCATTTCCTACCTTGTCTACTATGTCAGGGCCAATCAGGAGGATGCCCGAAGACACTTGGAGTATCTGAAATCGCTGCCCAGCCGGCAGGGCAAGTCAGAGGAGTCCTCCACCATTAGTACAGTAGTGTAGAGTTGATTGAGCCAGAAATAGGATCTAAAATGCTTCATCATGACAAGCAGGCTTTGCATGTTTCTAGAAAGTGATCCTGAGTCTCACGTTTTGTCTGGCTGTTGAAAAAAACTAATAAAACAATTGCCCACACAGAAAACAGAGGTTGATGTAATGCAGCCTAGATGAATAATTAATCTTGCAGGAAGCCATTAGAACTTTGAGTTGATGGTCTTGCCGGTGCACTAAGTAAGTGAAAGAAATGGCTTTTTTGTGAGCTCTGCATATAGGATATAGATGGGATTTACAGTGCATGTATCTAGATGCTCCTCTTCTGCAAAAAGACCGATCATGATGCACCTATGAACAGCAATATGAATTGCTGCACAAATTGAATTAGAATGACTCTGTGTACAACTGTAACACATCAGAATCTCAGTGGTATCGAGATATAGACCAGTATAATACACATAACATAGCATTTTCCAGGTACCATCTTCTGTAAGTTTCTCGAAGTATGACTCTAGTTAAATATTCCTACCATAGACACTTGTACATTTTGTAAATGTCACAACCACAAACTTCAGTGTAATTTCTTGGAATCTTTTGTCATAATTCAACACAAGGTAGTGAATGATTGTGAAGTGAGAAAAACCGTAAACCTTTTATTTTTTTGGGAAATATGGCACAACGCAAGGTCTCTTAATTGTTCAGTAAAGACCTTACTGGTTTTATTGGAGATCCTTAGAAAACAAACAGCATCATGAAGAAGAAACCAAGAAAGGAAACTATTAAAGCAGAGTTAGGCTTTGATCAGGGTGGACAATTCTAGTTCCTAAGGGCTGGTAAGCAGCAGCTTTTAGATCTGTCTTTGGTACACCACACCATAATCAAATAATTGAATAATTAGTGGACTTTGGAGAATTTGACGGCACACTGAAGAGGTAATTCAGCCATTTGATTCAGGTGTGTTGCACCAAGCATGAATCTAAAAGTTGCAGCCCTCGAGGACTGGAGTTGCCCACCCATGCTTTAAACCAATATGTTACTTTGTACATATTTCAGAACACTGTTAAATTTATCAGCAGAAATGGAAAGATAATGGCACAATGTCTAACCACGTCACAGGCCATGGTTAGGGTAAGCATGTATCGGCAGCAAGCTAAGAATCAAATAACTCTAGATCTACATTTTAGGTTGGAGATTTTGTTGGCAGGAAAAGAACGTTTGTATGTTACAAATTTAGACTTAATGGAAGAGTGGCAAGAAGCACACTTTACCTAAACCCCTTTCCCACTTGCCGAAAAACCTCTTTAAATTTGGGAATAATGGGCTTTGAGTGGCAGTGGGAACAGCTCACTGATGCGTGTCTACTCGTTTCAAACCCGGGTTGACCCCCTTATTTACGTGATACCATTGAGCGCAACGTACGGATGTCAATAAACCGTTCCAGTCGCATCGAAACTTTGTTTACATCCAATAAACATGGAGCAGCTCTGGTGAGATGGATTCAGTGGATAAAAGATTGAAACAATAAAGCACACTGACTACGACCTGGCTTCCTTACATGTTGCTCTCCGTTGTTTACTCTGATGTTTTCTGTTCCACTGGTTACTCATGTATTCTAATCCAGCGTAATGGTGTGACCAGACACGCGGCAGCGGGGGGACAGAGGCCACGCAACTGCCAGAGAGGGGTTAGACCAGCTTTTTTTGCCAGTGGGAAGGGAGCCAAATGCAGATAGTTTGCAGGTCGACACATATGTGAAAATCCTGGGTTAACCGGCTAATTTCAGTGGGAAGACAGCTCAAGAGACATACCCAACCACTCCAAGATTTTAAAACATTCCATGTTTCCCACCTTTTGATTTTAAAATGATTCAGTTTAATGTCTCTAATATAAATAAGCTTCTGGGGTTGAACAATAAATCATGGAATCAATCTATAGACCAATATGCTTTCTAACATTCTAACTTATCAAACTAGCTAAACAGCTGAAAACACCACTGTCAATTTTTTTTACAATAGAATTAGAATATTCTTTAGAATGCTCTTACCAATTTTTTGGCCTTATTGGAGCACAGACCTAAATCCAGCTGATAATTTGTGGACAAAAAACGTTACTCTCACTCTGTTCTGATTGAGCTGCTTTGCTATGAAAAAACTTAGGGGGGAAATTCTTCAAAGTTGGTAGAAATATTCCCCAAAAGATTAGCGGCTCTAATCGCAGATTTTTGACTGAGGCCGAAATGTGAAAGGTAGAAGTTTAACTCTTCTTGGCCAGTTAGTGGCACACTAGTGATCGACAACACTGGTTCTGTACTGTTTGCCAGTAGCCAGGTCTGCTTTTGCTGAAGCTAACCTTTGGTTAGCATTGGTGTAACCTTTGGTTCGCATTGGCAAACATTTTGCGTACTGCGTACTGCATACTGCGTAGAAGGAAAGCAGCAACCTCCACATTGCTTCTCAGCTCCTTTACTTTCTTAAGTCGGTACTGACACTGAAAAGCTGGACTGATGTTTACCCTCATTTTGCTCTTTGGTATTATTCTGTTTCTTTGTTTCAGTTTGAGAAACGTAATGCCAAGAGAAAGCCATTTCTCACTGATCTACTAGGATCTAGCAACAACTGAGCTCCGTCTAAATGACTTATAACCTACTATTATTATTAGTGTAGAATCCTTCTTGCCAAAATTATCACTTCAAGCAGAACTAAATATTTATATATTCTGAATCCGTTAAAATATATAAAACTATTATTTACTGACTCTATTTTTTTTTTCTTCATCACTATCATACTGTGTCATACTGTGGATTTAATGTTGACAATGTTTTAAGCTATGACCTTTATTACAAGTCCTAACCCCTTATTTCACATAAAAACTTAAAATATAGGTTTCCTTTTCCACTTCACAACCGTGCACTACTTTGTGTTTGTCTATCAAACGAAATCCCTATTGGTAAACTTTGAAGTTTGTGATTGTAATGTCTAAAAATGTAAAAATGTTTATGGCTGAAAATACATTTTGATGGAATCCTACAATGTTTCTATATAAATCAACTTCTGCAGTTTCTATCTTCTTGATTTTTTTCTAGTTAGATAATGTGGAGGGTGCAAAACGTAAAGCAACTTTATCTTTAGGATAAAAAATATTAAATATAGTAAATGTTCAAACAGTGCAAGACAGAAAAGGAGAACAGCAATCTAACCAAGGGTTATTATTATATTTAGGTTAGAAAAGTCATGACTCTTAATTCACTCAGACTAATTGGAGGAACATGAAGGACTCTCTAATGACTCTGTATCTTGTTATCTAGATCTGTGAGTCCCACTCGGGGACTTGAATTTCACTGTGGGAGACAGAGAGGTCTGAAATAAAGTTCGAAACTGTTTACCTATTGCATGTATTATTGCAGCTCGCTTTACAGACAAGAAAATCACTTGATTTATAGATGGTGGGGAATAAAAACTAACTTAGAGGTTATTTATAATGCCAATAGGTCTTTGTCTCGCATGTTTTTTCCTTTACAATGCGGACCATTAGTTTTTTATTTTGTGGTTCTAAACCTGGAAAGTTTGGGTACTCTTAACTTATTTACCATGGCAGCTGTTTTCTTTCCATCTCACATCCTTATTAAGCACCCAGGGCGTCTCTATGAATTATCTATAATGCAGTCACTCCCATGTGCTTTATAAATAACATTTAAGAGGTCATGGCCGGTCAGTCCATTAAAGGAGCAGCAGGGAAGTGAACTTTCCATTTTACCAGAACAACATGCACAAATGCATTTGAGCCCTCACCGAGGAAACCATCAATACAAGACCAAGACCGCAAAACCAGGGAAAGGCATATGAATGGAGACATTGAATCCATTACAGTCTGAAATCTAAGATGTCCTCATCGGGCCTTTTTTTCCATCAGAAAAGCCCAGTGTAGTGCTGAATAATGAAATCTGTTGTCTAAGATGTGGGAAAGGGTTTGTCAACAAGGGCTTTCCTTGTATTAGACATGCTGATGCCCGTAGAGGACAGCAAGAACTATAAGTTATTCATGAATATCATGAAAAAAAAAAAACAGGAAAGTACAGGACTGAAACCATCATCTTCTCTGACCTATTTCTTGGAGAGAAATGAAAGGATAATGCCACAGGGGATCAGTGCCTCTGCTGTCTGACTTGCATTTGTTGGGCGAGGCACTTTCCAAATGCCCCTCGGCTGCAGTCAAGTTTCTAGAGGACTCGATTTTCAGCTGTTGGTTAGTTCCTAAAGGTTTAAATTCTTTAGCAGTATAACAAGAAGTTATGCAGATGTAGTGCCACTTCAAACTCATTTCAACATGTGATTGTACTTTGGACATCTTGTGATATTTAGGAAAATGCAATAAATTGTGAAATAGCTTAGGGTAGAAGTTAAAGTAAATATGTGAAACAATCCCTACAGACGAACTAAGCTCTAAAATTAACCCTTTAGTCATTGAGCAAAATTAGGGGTTTATTGACAGAAGAATTAAAAACTCAACAGAAACATTCTATTTCTCAGAGATTCTGTCCACAAAGTGCGGCTTGTTTGGTATTTTAGAAGAAGGGGAAATAATTGTAGAAGAAATCATACTGCGGAATCCAAAAATCCTTAAACCACAAACTAGCATTAGAAAAGTAGACCTTTGAAACTTTTAAGAGGTTATTGAATTTAAAAGTTGTTGGGATTATTTTTTTATGATATAATTTGTTGCCAAATGAATGATTCTGAAACTTTTAACATAACTTTTAATTCTTGTTCATCATCTTCTGTTCTACATCTCGCATCGGAAATCATAAGCTTTTCATCTATTTCATTTGCCTATTTTATTCTGCTTTGTTATATCTTATAAATATTTCTAGCTTTGTAATAAATAATAAAGTATTTTTAACTTAAAAATATTTTATATATACTGTAATAATGTTCCACCTATCTTCTTGTCACTGATATATTTTTTGACCTTAAAAAAGTGTCTTCTATTTCCCACTAATAATGTTAAAGCTTGGGTTTAGACCATCAAAAATATTTTAATATTAGACGGAAAATTGAGTAAAAACAAAATGCAGATTTCGGTTGATTAATTTAAATAGCAATGCAAACTGACTCGGCCCTCTTAAGAGAGAAGCTAAACCTGGCAAAGGCTTTTGTCAATATATGCTTCAGCTTATGCTAACTGACATTCAGTCTGTTGTTTTGGACTGGAGGAGTTAAGACCTCGTGTTCTTGGTTGTTTTTTATTTAGAATTTAGAGAGTCTTTTTTTATGATTTATATCTTTTATCTTTTTATGGTACATAACTGTCAGATTTGCAGTACATTCACAGTGATGGTGATTTCTCATCGGAAACTAGGAAGGCTCTGCACAGCTGATTTTCATTGATTGCTGATTAACAGGCTTTTGTTAAACTACAATCATCAGCTGTGCTAAAGCAGGGAAACCTCTAAAACCTGCAGGACAGCGATCCTGGAGGACCGACTTTGTGGATGCCTATCTATGGAGCAGAGGCGGGTCAGGAAACTGGCTGCTCAATGCAGAATGACAATTAAGGACTTTTGACTGACAGTATTCTGACATCGTGGAGGTTTTCCTCATAAGTAGAGAGGGAAAAGTGATCATTCAGTAAGAACAGTCATCTTATGCTAAACTCTTGCTGCAGTTTCTTATTTTATTATAGCAATTCACAACAGCT